TGAGAGAATTTGCCTTCTTCCCCAAACTGTCTCCACACTGTTCCTAAGGCTATATAGCTGTTACCAGAACAAACAAAATCATAGTAAAGAAAGTGGAACAATTAATCACTAAAAAAATGGAAAATTAAATCAACTACCCGAAAGTCAGTCAAGAGATAGAAAAAAAGTACAGATATGACACCTAATATACTAAATATGGAGGAGGAAGAAAAGGAGGGAAAAATAACGTTTAGATTGTGTTTGTAATAGCATTGCATGAGTTTTGTTAGACTGTGAGACAGAAAAATGTTACCCTTGAACCTTTGGTAACCACAAATCTAAAGCCTTCAATGGCAATAAGTACATACCTATTGATAATCTCCCTAAATGTAAATGGTCTGAAGGCATCAATCAAAAGACAGAGTCACTGAAGGGACAAAAAATAAGACCCATCTATATAATGCCTACAAGAGACTCAGTTCAAACCCAAAGACATACACAGACTAAAACTGAAGTTATGGAAAAAGATATTTCATGTAACTAATGGAGAAAAAGCAGGCATTTTGGTACTTGTATTCAACAGAATAGACTTCAGAAAACAAAGTAATGAGATAAAGAACACATTAGATAATGATAAAGGGCTCAGTCCAACAAGAGGATATAACCATTATAAATATCTGTGTACTTAACAAAGAAGCACTAAAAAATGTGAAACACATACTAACAGAATTAAAGCAAGAAATAGATTGTGATGCATTCATTTTAGGAGACTTCAACACATCATTCTCTCCAAAGGACAGATCAACCAGACAGAAAATAAGTAAGGAGACAGAGGCACTGAACAACACATTGCAACAGATGGACCTAACAGACATCTACAGAACACTCCACCCAAAAGCAACACGGCACACATTTTCTCAACTGAACATGAAACATTTTCAAGAATAGATCACATACCACAAAAAACCCTAAAGAATCCACCCCAAAACTACTAAATCAAATATCTGAATTCAGCAATGTTGCAGGATACAAAATTAACACACAGAAATCTGTTGCACTCCCATATACTAATGATGAACTAGCAGAAAGAGATATCAGGAAAACAATTCCATTCACAACTGCATCAAAAAGAATAAAATACCAAGGAATAAACTTAACAAAGGAAGTGAATGACCTATACCCTGAAAACTGTAAGACACTCATGAGAGAAATTAAAGAAGATACCAAAAAAATGGAAACACATCCTGTGCTCTTGGATAGGAAGAATTAATACTGTCAAAATGGCCATCCTGCCCAAAGCAATCTACAGATTCAGTGCAATCCCTATCAAAATACCAACAGCATTCTTCAACAAACTAGAGCAAATAGTTCTAAAATCCATATGCAACCACAAAAGACCCCAAATAGACAAAGTAATCATGAGAAGGAAGAATAAAGTAGGGTGAATTATGCCCCCTGACTTCAAGCTCTACTACAAAGCTCTACTACAAGACAATTTGGTATTGGCAAAAGAACAGACCCATAGACCAGTGGAACAGAATAGAGTCCAGATACTAACCCAAGCATATGTGCTCAATTAATATACGATAAAGGAACCATGGATATACAATGGGGAGATGACAGCCTCTTCAACAGCTGGTGTTGGAAAAACTGGACAGCTACATGCAAGAGAATGAAACTGTATCATTGCTTAACCCCATACACAAAGTAAACTCAAAATGGATCAAAGACCTGAATGTAAGTCATGAAACCATAAAACTCTTAGAAGAAAACAGGCAAAAATCTCCTGAATATAATCATGAGCAACTTCTTCCTGAACACATCTCCTCGAGCAAGGGAAACAAAAGCAAAAATGAACTTACAGGAATACATCAAACTAAAAAGTTTCTGTATGGCAAAGGACACCATCAACAGACAAAAAGCCATCCTACAGTAAGGGAGAATATACTTGTAAATGACATATCTGACAAGGGGTTAACATTCAAAATATATAAAGAACTTACACCTCTCAACACCCAAAATGCAAATCAAATAACCCAATTACAAAAATGGGAAGAGATATGAAGAGACAGTTCTCCAATGAAGAAATTCAGATGGCCAAAGGCACATGAAAAATGCTCTACATGCCTGGGAAATGCAAATTAAAACCACAATGAGATATCACCTCACACCAGTAAGGATGGCCAGCATCAAAAAGACTAAGAACAATAATTCCTAGCAAGGATTCAAAGAAAGGGGTACCCTCTTATACTGCTGGTGGGAATGTCAACTAGTTCAGCCATTGTGGAAAGCAGTATGGAGGTTCCTCAAAAAACTCAAAATAGAAATACCATTTGACCCAGGAATTCCACTCCTAGGAACTTACCCAAGAATGCAGTAGCCCAATTTGAAAAAGACAGATGCACCCCTATATTTATCACAGCACTATTTACAATAACCAAGAAATGGAAGCAACCTAAATGTCCATCAGTAGATGAATGGATAAAGAAGATGTGGTATATATACACAATGGAATACTATTCAGCCATAAGAAAGAAACAAATCCTACCATTTGCAACAACATGGATGGAGCTGGAGGACATTGTGTTCAGTGAAATAAGCTAGGCGGAGAAAGACAAATGCCAAATGATTTCCCTCATTTGTGGAGTATAACAATGAAGCAAAACTGAAGGAACAGAATAGCAGCAGACTCAGAGACTCCAAGAAGGAACTAGTGGTTACAAAAGGGGAGGGATGTGGTAGGGTGGGTGGGGAGAGAGACAGAAGGGGATTGAGGGGTATTATTTTTAGTACACATGGTGTGGGGGATCACAGGGAGAACAGTGCAGCACAGATAAGGCAAATAGTAACTGTGGTGTCTTACTACACTGATGGACATTGACTGTGAAGGGTATGTGGGGGGGACTTGGTGAAGGGGGGAGCCTAGTAAACATAATGTCCTTCATGTAATTGTAGATTAATGAAAGCAAAATAGAAAGAATGAATGCATAAAGATGCAGAGAACTGAAATTGTGCAGCTTTACAGCACCTTGACATTTGAGAAGGTGGGTGTTTTTGTTGTCATTTTCATTTGCTCACTAAACATCTGCTGATTGAATTATATCCAAACACTTTCTGGTCAGTATTGTTGTTTTCTTCCCTAAATATCATGACTTTAATATCACAAAAATACATTGTTTTTTCCTCCAACGCATGATACAGACCCGGGGTGGTTTGAGAATATAAAAGATAAAATCATCCAAGTGACATCAGTCATTCTTGCTTAAATATACATCACATGGTAAGAAGGATGGGAGGATGGCCTGAGTGAGTGAAGGGGTCAAAGAGGAGCAGGGCTCCCATTATAAAATAAAGTAGCCACAGGGATGAGCACAGCACAGGGAATATAGTCAATAATATTGTGCAATATTTGTATGATATTATCTACAGATATCTACATTTATCATGGTGAGCATTTAGCAAATTGTATAATTCTCGAATCACTGTTGTACACTGAGACCAGTATAATATGTACATTAACTATATTTCAATTAACTTTATCTCAATTAAAGTTAAGGGGTAGTAGCCCTCAGGTAGATATTCAAGAGTTTATTAGTTTAACGAAACGTAAGAGAAATAATAAAATAGAAAAATTTTTCAACTGAATGTTTTCTGAAGTTTTCAAAAGACAGACAAATGGGTGGAAGGAAGGACAAAAAGAAACAAAGAAATGAGAAGATGGATAAGAAGGAAATAATGAAATATTGCATTAAAGAAAGGTGGTGGAAAATTTTATTCCAATTGTAGAAATAAATCATTATATACAAATTTGTATTATTTGTACATTTGATCTGAGCCAATATATCATCAGTAATTTCCAGTAGACAAAATAAATGTGGAGGCAGAAGCACTGAAATGATGGTTATATTTTATTAGCTAATCATCTCCCTCTCTGTCATACCCATTTGATATTTAAAAAAGTAGTTTTCAATGTGAGAGAACCATCCATAGAAGTACTGATTTTTGACCTTCATCTAGTTTGTTTTTATAAATAGTTTAGAACATGATTATGAGGACTTAAAATATATACAAATGTAGTTTAAAAATTAAAGGAGTTACAATGGCCAAGAGCTTCCATCACACCTAATTTTTGTGATCTCATATTTCTTTGAACAATTAGACACATGTTGAAATATTTATTTTAAAGAGAATGGGATTGAGTAATATGTGAATATATTTGTTTCTAATATTCTTCATACTTAGGCACTATCAAACATTTTATTTGTCCTTTATTCTTTAAATTTTTTATTGAAATAGATGATATACAATATTATGTTGGTTTCAGATGAACAACAAAGTGACCCAATAATTGTATACATTACCAAATGCTCATCATGATGTGTAGTGATTATATGTCACCAAAAACATATTACAATATTATTAGTTCTATTACCTATGCTGTACTTCCATCCCTGTGACTAAATTATTTAATACATTGAAATTTGTAATCCTTTATCTAATGCACCTATTTCATTTGCCCCTGTCCATGGTAACCAGCAGTCTATTCTCTGTGTTTATGAGTCTGTTTCTGTTTTCTAGCTTGTTTAGTTTATACTTTGTATGCTACATAAATTTATCAAACTATACTAACTCTGGAGAACACCTGTTAAAATTCATTCTTAAATTATTGTGAATCTATTATAAAAAACATTTCCATATTTATTCTTAACAACAGATACAATTTGTCTAACCAGGAGATGCACCATTTATTCTTCTGCACCTATACAAAAAAGTAAATTATTCTTTTATTGTATGTTCATTGGTAAAATTTATTAAAATAATTTACCATGTATTTGTTTTTCATTGTTTGTTTTTTTGTACATAAAGTAAAATGGGGGTGTGAAGATGGTTGAAAAGGTGACACATAAAGAGGTACAGACTTCAAATTATAAAATGAATTGGGCATAGGAATGGAAGTGAAAGAAAGGGTTATAAAAAATAACACAGTAATACTGTGGTTGGTAGTGGGGTGTACATGGACCATGGCAAGACTCGCTGGGAATGTGGGTAAGTACTGAGTCACTATGTTTGTTGTACATCTGAAACCAATATAATGTTGTACATGAACAATATCCCCCCAAAATTACATACATTGTAAAATATATAGCTACTGCCTTTGAGATACTTAGAATTGAGATAGTGCATAAAATTGTAAACATTGAAATAATAAAAGCAAAATAAGGAAAACTCCCATCAGTTTCAAGAATCCAAAACAGCTATATCACTGAGTTGTGAAACTTCAAATGCTAGTGAAAGGTCCACAATGGTTTTAATGAGGAGGTGAATTTTTAAACATCTCTTTAAAGTCTCAGAGGACTTCCTCATGGTAAGGAACTGAGGATGAGTATTCCAAGCAAGAGCATGAAGTCAGGAGATGTTTGTAACAACAGTTCTAATAAATGGAATCTTTAATTAAAACGTAACTAACGTTTTCATCACCAACCACACACAATGATTTGCCAAATTTCTAATCAATAGTCCCATTGGCTTTTTTCTCTAACCCATTTTTTGCCTTCCTTCCTTCCAGAGAGACCCCCATGGAGGGAGGAGGTGGACGGCTACAATCTCACCACTGTGACTCACTTTATCCTCACAGGGCTCTCTGACCTCCCCGAGGTGCACAATCCTTGTGGTCTTTGCCGTCACCTTGGTGGGAAACGGGACCATTCTCTATACCATTGGGACAGAGAAGAAGATGTATACCCACACGTATTACTTTCTGGCCAATCTGTCCCTCTTAGACATATTCTGCCCATCAGCTACTGTCGCCAAGATGCTGGACAACCTCTTGACTGGGAATCACAGCATTTCCTTCCTGGGCTGTACTTTGCAGCTTAATTTCCTGGTAGCCCTGGCGGGGACTGAGGTCTTCCTTCTCTCTGTCATGGCTTATGACCAGTACGTGGCCATCTGCTTCCCCCTCCATTACACCCTCATCATGACAAAGGCTCGCTGTGCCCAGCTGGCAGCAGGGTTTCTCCATTCCCTCCTCCACACAGTGTCCACCTTCTGCCTGTCTTTCTGCAAGTCCAATCGGGTTAACCAGTACTACTGTGATGATCCCCCACTGGTGGCCCTCTCCTGCTCATTCACCTACATGGCAGAAATGCTTGTTTCAGTGGCAGGAGGTGTCTCGGGAATTGGTATGTTCCTCACCACCTTCATCTCTTACATTTACATCATATCCACCATCCTAAAGATTCAGTCTGTGGAAGGGAAGCAGAAAGCATTCTCCACATGTCCCTCCCACCTCCTGGTGGTCTGTTTGTTCTATGGCACAACCATCTTCACCTACATTCATCCCTCTTCAAGTCACCACTCCCCAGACAGGGACAGACTCATCACCGTGCTCAATGGGGTTATCACCCCCATGCTAAACCCCACAATCTACAGCTTGAGGAACACAGAGGTGAAAGGGGCACTCAGAAACGTCTTATGTCACTGAGCATGTTTACACTGAATGTAAGAGTAAAACAAAAAAGTCTGTATTCATTTTAGAACACATTTATAAGGAGAATTCATAGACAATAATTTTAATTGACACATAGAATACACTTATGCACACTGAAATTTATAGACATGCAAACATACACATGATTTTAGTTTATCTGAAAGCCTACATATGTATGTACACATACGTTGTATCTCAATCCAAGGGGAACCTAAAGTATATAACCCCCAAAATAAACCTTTTCATGAGTAGCGGAGAATACTAGTAACAGTTAATGTAAGGATAAACTGAGCCTACCTTTTAAGGTAATTAGAATTTTTTTTGTTAGATAATTATTTTTTATTGAAGGGTAGTTGACACACAGTATTACATTAGTTTCAGGTGTACAACATAGTGATTCAACATTTATATACATGATAATTCTAGGTACCAGCTATTACCATACCAAGTTGTTACAATATTTTGACTATATTCCTTATGCTATACATTACATCCC